GCAAATGGCACTGAAGTAGATAAAGATGGAATTATTTCCTTAAACTTGGTAACAGCATTGCCAGATAGACATCTGCTGTAGTGGAATTGTTTCCCACATAGAGTATAATCCATTAATTTAAATTCAAAAGTTATTAGAAAATGGTCAGACAGAAGAGGGTTATGGGGAAAAACTATTAAGTGTTCAGTTTTGATGCCATATGTCAGAACCAGATCAAGAGTGTGATTAAAACAGTGAGTGGGTTTATTTAGTTTGAGAGAAGCCAACTGAGTCTAATAATGAACAGAATGCATTGTTGAGGCTGTCATTGTCGGCATCTACATGAATATTAAAGTCGCCTACTATGATTATTTTATCTGTACTAAGCACTAAATCAGACAGAAAGTCTGAGAATTCACTTAAAAACTCTGAATAAGGAGCAGGTGGACGGTATACAATAACAAACAGAACAGGCTTTTGAGTTTTCCAGTTTGGGTGTGAGAGACTCAGGGTGAGACTTTCAAATGAGTTATAACTATGTTTAGGTCTAGGGTTGATTAATAGGCTCGAGTCAAAGATCGCTGCCACGCCACCACCTCGGCCTGTGTTTCGAGGGATGTGACAGTTACTGTGACTAGGTGGAGTGGATTCATTTAGGCTGACATATTCTTCCTGCTGTAACCATGTTTCAGTAAGACACAATAAGTCAATGTGATGTTCACTTATCAAATCATTCACTAACAGAGATTTAGATGAGAGAGATCTGATATTTAATAGTCCACATTTGATTGTCCTATTACTTTCCGCTATAAGAGGAGTCATTTTAATTTTAATTAGGTTATGAATAACTCCTCTAGAGTTGATTCTTGATTTATATAATTTAGGTGGGCGGGGGGCAGACACGGTCTCTATGGGGTACTGGGAGGGTTGGGTGGGTAGCAGCTGCAGAGAGACAGCAGAGAGGCGAGTAAGACTGCGACCCTGCATCCTGGACTCAACTCTGGGTTGTCATAATTTAGGTTGTAAAACAAACTCGTCCAGATTTCTAGAGAAGAGAGCCGCACCACCCAAAGTGGGATGGATGCTGGGCTGTCACACAGGTCTGCTCAGCTGGTATGCTGGCTCTTTGTGGTGCATTAACACAAACTGTTGCAGTGATCAACACTGTGCTGACCTTTGCTTTAGATCCGAGAGCAGCTGAAGGTTGAGTGAGTAAAAAATGAAGCAGGAGAATGTGCTGAACAGAGAGTGGAGATGTTGAGACCTCTAGTTTGACAGTGACACTAAATGCTATAGGCTGTGTAAATAGTTGGTCAATACACTGAAGTTAAGCTCAGATGCATTTGAGAGACTTGGTCGATTTAGTTGCTGGAGGGGAAAAGCGTTTTTTTTTTTCTATAAACAAGTAGCTTTTGTATAGCTGCCCCTTTGTTCAGCTGGAAAACATTTTTCCTGAACAGAGAGTGGAGATGTTGAGACCTCTAGTTTGACAGTGACACTAAATGCTATAGGCTGTGTAAATAGTTGGTCAATACACTGAAGTTAAGCTCAGATGCATTTGAGAGACTTGGTCGATTTAGTTGCTGGAGGGGAAAAGCGTTTTTTTTTTTTTCTATAAACAAGTAGCTTTTGTATAGCTGCACCTTTGTTCAGCTGGAAACCATTTTTCAAATTCTTCCATTTTATAAATTCTGTATCCACTGGTAATCTTGAAGGTTGTCAGTGTTTTCAGTCTCAGACTACATCAACTCAGTATTTGACTCACACTTTCAGCGAGAAAACATAACATTGTCCTCGGTTTTGTGTGAGTGTTAAAATGGCCTTGGGACTGAGAACGTTAGGGCTTTGAGTACACGCTAAGATACATGCTGCAGAGTCTTCAGTCAACACAATGACCCTGTTTTAAACAGTGAAAAAGCGTGGAAGATTACTTCAGATTCTCATTCTGCCCTTCAGCTGTATAATCTGTTTTGTGCCTCAAGTTGTGGCTCAGACTAACCTGTCCAGTGGCAAATATCGGGGAGGATGTAACAGTGTCACTGTCCACCTTAATCCACTGAAATATTCATCCAGCTCTGTCTGTCTTCTCTCTGCAGTATGAGTTCAAGGTGAAAAACATCAAGAAGAAAAAAGTCCACATCGTGGTGTCTGTAGATGGTGTGAAGGTGACCTTGAGGAAAAAGAAAAAAGTGAGTGACCTTTTTTGTTTGAACTGTATTTCTGTCTTGCAAAAGAAGAATCTCCTCCCTGGCTGTGTTCCCTTGTTCTGGGAGGGTTATTTCAAATCTGAAGCAGGAGATGTTGAGGCTGTGACAGGGTCCGCTGCCAAGATGATGATGAGTCTGAATAACTTTGATTGGATCTTTCACTCATGAAAGTTTTCTCTGGTAATGTCATGCAAATGTCTTTTGATTTCAATAAGCTGATGAAAAAAGTTCCCAGTTAAATTGAAATGAGTTGTATGGACTTAAACTCTCCTCTAAGATGTGTTTAACAGTCAGTATGACAGCAGAGACTTTAAGCTTTCGTCTGTTTAAATTGCAGCAGTGTTGCTCCCAACAGATTACATGTGCAGGGCCAGAGATTCGTATTGAATTGTTTGAACCACTCGGCATGATGGCAGCGCAAACATCTGCCTGTCTGTTGACAAAAAGTGGCTATTACAAGGCCAGATT